CTGAACTCTCTGGAAAGGGAAGAGTGACCTTTGACTATTGTGGCATTTGTCCTGTTATTCAAAAGACCATGCATTCTTCTGTACAATAAAGAGGCCTATGTTTCTAAAATCAGAATTGGAACAAGATCCGGCAAAAGCTGAAAGACTGCCTGTGTGATCTGAATTTCTCTTTATCAGCCTCATTTCAAATCATTTCCTAGATTCATCCATTATTCTAGAATTAACCATTTAAAAATGAGATGTTTATTTCTATATCAGATCAATAAGTAATGCAATGTCATATTAATAACTGAACTAAAAACATGAAATTGGGGAGGGGGGGTCTGGAGATATGGCTCAGTGGTAGAGATCTAGCCTAACGTGAGGCCTGAGGTTGGATCTCTGGCACTACATACATACATAAATATATATACATACAAAGATACACACATATATGCACACAGAGTGAGACTGCCTATGAAAAGGCTCATGCATTTAGAATTAAACTACAAAATTTTTAATACGCTTGAATGTACAGTACCATGTCCTGCTCTTTTCTATTATTTTGATGTTACATTGGAGTGGCTTGAAGTATGGTTTATAGAACATTTTTTTTGAATGTGTGTTCTGAGTTCCCAAATAGCACACCTATAAATAAATGCATTATTTTCATGTATTTCTTTCTCTCTAAATGCATATTATATTAGGTATAGTAAGGTTCCCATGTATATGTATAAAACACACACACACACACACACACACACACACACACACACACCAAAAAAAGCTCTTTAAAACTGACCAGAAATAGAATAGGAAACAAACTAATAACCAAGCATGGTGGGGCATACCTGCAACTCCAACATTGAAGAGGCTAAGGCAGGAGGATTAGCAGCTCAACCCTCAGTCACAGAGTAAGATTCTACCTCAAAAATAAACTCTGATGATGACAACTTAAATTTTTAATATCCAACTTGTGTTTAACCATATCATTGTCTTATGGTGAGTACTTTTTTCTTCTTAGACTATTAAAAAGTAACACAAAGCTGAGTGCCAGTGGTTCATGCCTGTAATCTTAGCTACTCAGGAGACTGAGATATGAAGATCATGGTTTGAAGCCAGCATAGGCAGAAAAGTCCATGAGACTCATCTCCAATTAATTACCAAAGGGCTGGAAGTAGAGCTGTGGCTCAAGGTAGAGCACCAGCCTTGAGCAAAAAAGCTCAGGGTCAGCCCCCAGGCCCTGAGTTCAAGTCCCAGGATGGGCACAATAAAAAGAAAGAAAGAAACAAAAAGCTCAAAAAGCTAAATTAAAAACAATTATACAACTCTACGCAGCCTTTCTCTGCCCCCAATCACTATGCTGGGTTCCTCTCCCACCCCACCTGTCTTTGTGGTTAGGAGTGTAGTATGAAAGGACATTCAGGATGCACAGACCTCAAAAAGAACTGACTTTTCCAGTGGTTGTACTCTACCTCCCAAGTGGCTGATGACAGGTTCTTTCCTTTGCATGTAGAACCATGGCCACAGCAACAGTAGCTTAGAAAACTGCCCCACAGAATTGAGCAGTTTCCACATGGGAAGTCTTTGAGTTACACAAAAGCTAGGGGAGGAGTACATCTCTGAATGTGCTGTTTGGGAACTCAGAGTACATGTTCTATAAACTACGCTTCAAGCCACCATGATCTTAAAATAATAGAAAAGAGCGGAGTATAATATCGCTGCGAAGCAGAAAAGAAAAATAAAATGTCTTAAATTTTGTTTTCCCCTTTTTCCTTGTCATTATCTATAGGTTATTATTTATTTACTATCATTTTTATAATTATTAAGTAGTTGTACAAAGGGGATACAAATCTGTAAGTCAGGTTCTGAGTGCAATGCTTCTTGGTTATGTCACCCCTTCTTTCATTTTCCTCCACTTTCCCCTTCACGTGCTACCCTCAAGTTATACAGTTCATTTTTTATATAATGCACAGTGAACATAATCACTGCATTTGCTTACCCTTCTTCCCCCCATCCCTGTGCCTGCCTTTTCCTAACCCCCAAAACATGTTTTCATTTTCTGGTATTCCTAAGTACACCCTCCTTTAGTCAGTTTGTGTGTAAATGCACTGAGCTCTGTATATGTTATCATGCCAGATGTATTTTAGATCTAGCTTCTACATATGAGAGAAAACATGCACTGTTTGTCTCTCTGAGCCTGACTGACTTCACTGAACATGACTTCTTCTAGGTTCAGAACAAATGGACCTAGAACATTTTTTTTTCTGATTTTTGAGCAATGATTCTTTTGATGAGATCACCCATGCTGCCTGGGTCACTGGGAGCCCTTTGACAGACATCTGTGGACCCCTGGTGCTGTTTCCCAGGTTCTCCTTGTCCGACTGTGTAAACTCGCCCTGGTAAGTGATATCCAGTCCCACAGCTTGTCTTCTCTTTCTAGGAGGAAACTCCCACATTTTGAGTTCTTGCCTTGACCCGTGTTCTGGGCTTCATCTTTACACCCACAAAGCAGCTACCCCTGCTGGACTCCAGGCTTCACAAATGGCTGCCCCAAGGCCTAGAGATGGCCTCATTGGAGCAGTTGTGGTGTTCTCCCTTTGCTTTGAGTAGCCCCTCTGGAAATTCAGAGCACCAAACATCAGATCTGTCTGATCTAACTGAACCTCCACCCTCTCTCCTATTCTGACCAGCCATCCTTTTCCTTTGTTCAATATCCCAGTGCCACAGGATGCTATGCCCTGAGGTGCCAAGGTTCCCAGATGCTTACTGATGTTGACAACAAGCTGGTATGGTCACTGCAGACAGGGAGAACAAGCCTGCAGGCTTTGACTTCATACACAAAGGGCGCCTCTTATCATACGTGGTTTGACTAAGGAGGGTCCCTCTGGAAATTAACAACTGGGGTTGTCAAATATGCTCTGTACTGGTTGCCTTATAAAACTGAATGTTTAAATGTTCTCGGCTTTCTACTCCAGTCCATCTTCTCACAGCCCAGAGCAATTTGCTTAAAATGGCATGTTTGAGGGGGCAGTAGATGTAATGACACATCAGCCAATACACATGTATCCCTGATGGCTAACTGGAAATAAGAGTCTCGGACTTCCCTGCCCGGGCTGGCTGTGAACAGGATCATCAGATCTCAGCCTCTAGAGTAGCTAGCATTATAAGTGTGAGCCCCAGCATCCAGCAAAGCTATTTTTTTTTTTTTTTTTGGCCAGTCCTGGGGCTTGAACTCAGGGCCTGGCACTGTCCCTGAGCTTCTTTTTTACTCAAGGCTAGCACTCTACCACTTGAGCAACACTTGAGCAATAGTACCACTTCTAGCTTTTCTGTTTATGTGGTACTGAGGAATCAAAACCAGGGCTTCATACGTGCTAGGCGAGCACTCAACCACTGAGCCACATTCCCAGCCCAGCAAAGCTATTTTTTAATATAACAACAAGGTATGCTACACAGAAGATGATACCTAACGTGAAACATGTCCAATATATATTGCTATGTGTTAAGATTTGGTAGAAATCAGTCTGTAGCAGCAGCCTGGGTAATGAAAGGCACATGTTGAAGTGGTAAAGCATCAGGTGCTTCTGCTTGCTTCCCTAGGTGGCCCACAGCCCCAGAAAGATAAGCAGGCAGGCAGTGTTCAGCTTATAGAGACCACCGCCCAATCTCAGGCACACCAGGACAATGAGGTGCTTTCTTGAACCAGTACTAACACCATGTTTCTAACAGGACAGCTGTTGAATACAGAGATACAACCTAAAAGGAGTGTATACTACTCACAAATCTGTCTTCTGCTTTTTTTTCTTGCTGGTGTTTGTTCAGACAAGCACAATGTCTAAATACCAACCTATTTTCAGTCACTGCTTTTCTGAAATAACTCTTTCCCTTTCATCCTGAGCAACTTCTGAGCCACCGCAATGGTGAGCATTAAGTTAGAAACTGGGAGAAAAGACAATTCTCACAGACATATTATTATGATATTTTCATGGAAAGGCTTACGTGCTCAAACTCTCATCTGTGTGCATTACTGTTTTCAGTCTGGGGTCAGGAAAGGACAGAGAGTGTCGCCCTGACCAATTTATGCGGAGGAGGAAAGGGATAGTGGGAGAACACCAAAGAAGGGAGTAATAATGCTCATCAAGAAATGTACTCATCACCTTACTCATGTAACTCCATAAAGCATCTTTATAATAAAATAAAATTTTAAAAAAGATTTATGCAGAGAATATGGCTGCCCAAGTAGAGATAGGAGACACCCTTCCCCCCCAAAACATAGACAGCACCAACCTCTTCAGAAACAAGTCCCACCAGAGGCAGGTGTTCACCTCTTGTACTCCACAAACACCCATTAGGATGAGAGGGAGGGTCAGCAGATAATGGCAGACGGCCTTCCCCAGCAGCTATGCCAACCTGCACTCCATGCAGAGGGGAAGAGGCTGGAGACTCTCAGTCTTACCAATGTCTGTTCCTTTCAACTGGCTCATGCTGGGCCAAATTGGTGACAGAACGCTTAAGTTCTGAGTTCAAATCCCAGTGTCGTCCTCCACCCTCCCACCTGCTCCCCCCACCTTAAAAAATACTAACTCCAATTGCCTTTATGCTATTGTGTCTTTTGTGCCCATACTGGAACTTGAACTCAGGGCCTCATGCTATCACTTGGCTGCTGGTCCAGTACCTGAGCCACATCTCTACTTCTGGATTTTTGCTGGTTAACTGGAGATAAGGGTCTCTTAGATATATCTACCCTGGCTGACTTCAAACCATAAGCCTCAGATTTCAGCCTCCTGAGTAGCTAGGACTATAGATGTGAGCCACCAGAACCCATCCATCCAATGACCTTCTGAACACCCACTTTCCTAGGAATCATGAAAGAAACTGTGGAAGAGAGGCAGGTACATTAAATGAGCCAAGTAATGTGGATGAATTGCAAGTCTTCCACATGGAAGGTGATTCTAGCCTGCAGAAACACTAGCGGAGCTGTTTAATGGCACCCCCACAGGACTGCATGTGAGACTTACAGTGCGTGGAACGTAGGGGAGGCCGTAAAATCGCTCCTGTGTGTCTTTAAGAATGTCTGTGGTTGACTTCCTCAGGGGGTGCCTGCCATGGTAGATTTGATCCAGCGTGGCATAGAAGACCTACACAGATGAGAACATCTACTTAGCATGAGTAGTCCATTCTTATAGTTAACACTGGTCCAACACAGATGTACTAGGCATACCAGAATGACAATTACAAATGACAGCTGAAAACACTCACAAATATAAATGTATCTGATATATTTACATAATACCAAGATACTGAAGATCAATACCAAGATACTGAATCTTATAATAAGGTTCTCTTTATGTACAATATAGCAAGTTAAGTTTGTGACCCCAAAACTAGAATTTTTGCCAAAATTAAATAGTCAGAAATATAAAAAAAAAGAGAAAGAAAGTTCTAAGTTGAAATCCTCTGGATAAACATATAGTTTTTGATTTCTTCCTAGAATCCTGAGAGATATGAGATGGTTAGAATGCATGAAAGAACCTACCTAGTGTTTGGGAAAGGGAGAAAGGAACAGCTGTATAGCATCTGGTAAGTACAGACGTTACCAAGAATTCCAGGTGGCTGTTGGAAAGTTGGAAGCAAGGACCCCCACACCTGTTTCTCCAACTACAAAGGAAACAGCTGCCATATGGGGTGAGGGACCTGCAGGGAAGGACCAGCCACCTCTAGACAGAGGAGAGGCCAATGAAATCTAACAGGAGAATAAAGGGTCAAAGAAAGTTTGAACATGAATCTGCAGCCTACACAGTACTGAGAACTAAGTTTTGCAGAGGATACCTTGAGGAAAGATAATATGCTTTTTTTCTCCTCAAAATTTGAATTGTAGGGCTGGGAAGGTGGCTCAGTGGTAAAGCGCTTGCCTTGCATGCCTGAGGCCCTGGGTTCGATTCCTCAGTACCACATAAGCAAAAAGAAAAAAAGCCGGAAGTGGCACTGTGGCTCAAGTGGTAGAGTGCCAGCCTTGAGCTGAAGAGCTGAGGGACAGCGCCCAGGCCCAGAGTTTAGGCCCCATGACTGGACCCAAAAAAAAAAAAATGAATTGTATTACTGATACAGGGTGGAATTTACCTGACAGAACAAAGTCAACATGCCTTATTTAAAGCAAAAATTGGAAAAAAAAAAAAGGACATGCAATTATACCTCTGATATGTATCTTTCTACTTCAGAAATGGAATTTGCAGAGAATGTGCAGCTGTTGACTTGAAAGACTAAGGATTAGTTTGGATAAAAGAAAAAATTTAAATGAACTGTAGCTTCTGGCTTCACATAGATATAAAATTATGGCTCTAAATTAGAGAGCCAAGTTTAAACTTTTCCTCGAAAAAGACAAACATGTCCCTAAACATAAATAGTGTGTTCTTCTAAGTGGTAATCTAAATATGTAGCTAAATACATATTTCTTCCAATTCTATGTTGTATAATGAGTAACAATGCCTAAAGATAACTGGAGAAGCCAAAGTTGCTCATCTGCATTTTACCTATACTCTACCACTGTAAAGTATTAGGTATTGGAACTCATCATTCCAATCTGAACTGTACAATCTAGCAACAAATCAGAATTCAAGAGCTTCAATTTTAAAAATGATAAAAAAAACACAGCATGATTTCTTTTAATACAAGGAGAGAGAAAATTAATGTGTATTTAATGTATGTTTATCTGCTGATAAGTCAAACAATTCTCAAGCCACCAATATAATTTCTCATCCAGTGGGTTATGCATTTCTAAGACCAATACAGAGCCAGTGTTTTTTAAAACAATGCATGGTAAAATGTCACGTCACAATTCCTAAAATGCCTTTCTACCTCTTAGGAAAGCTGAGGCAACCCACTTCCTTTCCAGCCTCGTTCATCTCCACAGTATAGCCCCAGTGGGATGGCAGGGCACAAGCCCTATCCTGGCATAAGACCTGCACTCTTTGGCTTATTCATTTAAGAGGGTAAGAGGGAAAAAAATGTCTTCTCATTTTAAAAGGAAATCAGTAGAACAACTTCAAAGAGAAAGTCTCAACATAAACTCCTACAAGGAGGTCGTTCTACTACTAATAACAGTAAAACAGGATCTTTGCGCTGGGTATGATAGCTGTAATCCTAGCCCTCAGGAGATAGACAGGAAAGACCTGAATTCAAGGCCAGCCTAGGTCACATATTGAGACACTGAATTCTCAAGGAACCAAAAAAAGTAAAAAAGATCTTTGGCACCATTGGCTCACGCCTATAATCCTAGTTACTAAGGAGGCTGACATCTGAGGACCACGGTTCAAAGCCAGCCAGAGCAGAAAAGTCTGTGAGACTCTTATCTCCAATTAACTATAAGAAAACCAGAAGTGGTGCTGTGGCTCAAGTGGTAGAGCACTTACCTTGAGCTGAAGAGTGCAGGGTCAGCACCCAAGCCCAGATTCAAGACACACAACCAACCAAAAAAAAAAAACAAACAAACAAAAACCCCCAAGATCTTTGGCAAGTAATGCTCATTTTAAAGGCTATTCTATTGAATTGATCAATTTACAAATCAATTATAAATTATGGTTTTGTCCATACAGTGGATTTTCCACCATCTGAGCCCCCACATCTGGGGGCTCTTGGATTTGTCTGCCCAGACTGGTTTCAAACTGTGATCCTCTTATCTCAGCCCCCTGAGCAGCTAGGATTAAGGAATGGGCCACAGGTACCTGATTTTTGCTGTGCTCTTTGAAGTCAGATGCAAGATGTTTCAGCAGCACAATTACAGTCACAAATGAGCAGCCTTGGCAAGGATTTAGGTGGGATGATGAAGGAAACCCGAGCCTGGAGGAGAGCACATACCTGAAGTTGCATTTCTGCAGCAGCACACACCTTCTTGGACTCACAGAGACGGGACACCATGTGCTTTGGCAGTGGCTTCATAAAACATAAGGACACAGATGTGAGTAAGCTAAGCCTGCTGGTAAGCCAGGCACTAGTACACTGTGAATCAGGAGATTTAAAAATAACATCACATGGAGAAAATGAGTAACAAAATCTGCTTAGACTTTACAAATAATAATTACTTTCAAATATTTCACTTAACAAGACAACATGGATTTAGTTTTAACTGCATTTAGTTTTAACAGGTTCTAACTATCCAGGCAGAATATGCAGATGAGGGGGGGAAAAATCAGGGTTTCAGGACACAAGGGGCTGGCACTGATCTTTAACCTTTATTTAAAACCCCAACGCAGACACTTTGCCTGTCCCTTTGTTCCAGGGAATGTTGGATCAAGTGCGCTCTTAACTTATAAACCCACAATAAGGGATGATAAGACTAAGAGATTAAAATGTCAAGAACTGAAGGGTAATCCAGGTGGATTTTAAAGCTCAGTTGGAATGAAGTTATGTGCTCCCTGTGTAATTTAAATTCCAGGCTGCCTGAATGTTTTTATTTCTTTTAAATATTCCATAAAACTTGCTTTAAAAACAAAACAAAACAAAAAGAACTGACTTGATGACCTGACTGTTGGCATGCTAACAAACTGTGGGTTAATTTTCCAACCTGAAAGAGCTATAGAGCTTGGCTGGACATGATTCAACGTCTCTGCTGATGTAAGGCTTTCTCTATTTGACTAATAATTAGGCCAAATCCTACAATATACACACCCTCATGGAAATAACCTAATAATGGAGGTGAAGATACTTTGTTTGATTTTTTTTTTGGTCAGTTGTGGGGCTTGAACTCTGGGCCTGGCCTCTGTCCCTGAGCTCTTTAGCTCAAGGCTAGTGCTCGACCACTTGAGCCACAGAGCCACTTCTGGCCTTTTCAGTTAGGTGGAGCTGAGGAATTGAACCCAGGGCCTCATGCATGTGAGGCAAGCACTCTACCACTGAGCCACCTTCCCACCCCACTGTGCTTGATCTTTAAGGATCATTACTATTGATATTTACAACTCTACTTACAATCTAAGTTACTCTAAAAGGCCTTAAAGAGAAACACATTTACAAGAGACACTGGTGATGACTGGATCATCAACTTGTATATATTATGGCCCATGGGTAAGAATATGGGCTCACATTCTAGCAGTCATTATTTGTACATCCCTAGGGCCCAGAACAGGGCTTCTGGGCCTCTGTGAGAATTTGCTGAAGATTCTTGAAAAAATACAAGAACTGTTGTAAATGAGTTGGGGGGGAGGGGGCGCTTGTGTCTGTGTGTGTGCACACTGGTATTGGAGCTTGAACCTAAGACCTCTTGCTCTTGCTCAACCTTTTCCCTCAAGAGGCTAGTGCACTGCCACTTGAGCCATGCCAGTTCCAGTTTCAGCTTTTTGCTGGTTACATGGAAATACGAGTCTCATAGACTTACCTGCTGGGACTGGCTTCTAGCCATGATCCTCAGACCTTAGCCTTCTGAGTAGCTAGCATTACAGGAGTGTGCCATTATCCTGCCCAGCTCTGACTCACTTCTTAAGTGAAGGACTACAGTACACCAGGATTTGATGATAACTCAGACAAAGATCTGTAGTCTATTCTTTTCTCTTCACAGTTTGTCTATAAGAAAGCAAACTAGGGCTGGGTGTGATGATACATGCCTGTAATACCAGCACTTGGGAAGCTGAAGCAAGAAGCTGTTGAGTTCCTGGCTAGCTTGTACTATATAGCAAGATCTCATCTTAAAATAGATAAACAAAATAAAATAGAGGAAGAAAAGAACAAGGGAGGGGAGGAGACAAAAGGTGAGAAAAGGAAGAACAGGCAGGGAGGACATCCAGGAGAAAAGGTGATTTTAGCTTTGATACAGACTGATACATGTTGTACAGGGCATGGGCCTGGAGTTTTCTACAGAAAAGCATTTATCTATATGATAGAAAGAAAAGTGTCCTCAAATGGAAATTTAAAAAAAAAAATGTATTGGTACTAGGGCTTGAACTCAGGTCTGGACACCATCCCTAGCTTTTTGGCTCAAGGCTGGCACTCTACCACTTACTTGAGCCAAGCTCCACTTCTGGATTTTTTTTTTTTTTTTTTTTTTGATCCTGGGGCCTGAACTCTGGGCCTGGGTGCTGTCCCTCAGCTCTTCAGCTCAAGGCTAGAGCTCTACCACTTGAGCCACAATACCACTTCTGGCTTTTCATGATTATGTGGTATTGAGGAATTGAACCCCTGGCTTCATGCATGCAAGGCAAGCACTCTACCACTGAGCTACCTTCCCAGCTTACTTCTCAATTTTTTTGATGGTTAGTTGGAGGTAAGAGTCTCACAGACTTTACTGCATATATAGGCTTCAAACCATGATCCTCACGTCTTAGCCTCCTGAGTAACTAGGATTACAGGTGTGAGCCACTATCACCCACCTCAGAATTTTTTCTTGTAAGTTTGATGAAGTTGCATTTGCTAACACACTGCAGCAAAATGTTCAGGCTTATTTCAACCTTCGTATTTTAACTTATGTTAAAATTTTAACCTATGTTGACAAGATATTTAGGAGATATTTCATACTTCATAAAGTTTTAACAATCTTACTTTCACAACACAAAACATGAATAACATTTTTTTCCTTCAACAAACATGAAGCCTTCTGTGGAGCCTCCCTATACTAGGTACCGGGGACAAAGTGGTGGCGCAGTCAGCTGGGTACCCAAGCGTTTTTCCATGTGAGCACCAACTTGAATCCTGCCTATCACGAGTGCCAGGAAGCGAGGCACTGCAGGGCAATACCAGGACCATGAAGGTTTACTGGGGAAACAAGGCAGACAAACCGTGAACAGGAACAAGAGTTACCTAGGTAAGAAGGGAAATGGAGGGAGATGAACTCAGGCAGGAGAAACAGCAGGTGCAGAGGGCATAAACCAGCAGGTTTCTATGGGCCCAGGGTGGGGAGAGCAAGAGCCAGGAAAGAGGAAAGAGGAAAGAGGTTGTGCCTGACAAGGATAGCAGACTCAACCACCAGGCCCCCCACCCCCATTAGTCAGGCTCCACCCCTCCTCCAAGGTCAGGCCCCACCTCTTGTGAAGCAGCTGGGGAGTTTGAAATACAAATGTCACAGTGTATAAAGAAAAGCCCCCCTGGCTTTGTTCATTAGCCCATTTTCAGCATCCTCAGCAAAGGTCTCCGATGAGGATGGAGGAGCAAGGTTCCCACCAACCCAGGGGGAACTGGGAGACTGTGTTCTGCTCTGCCTCCATCTGCTGGGGCCTGGCAGTGGCTAGGAAGCAGCAGTGGGAAGGTGGTGAGGGAGAAATGTTTCTCTCTGGTTAAGAAATGCAAAGATGATTTAAAGGGAACTGCTGAAGAAGAAGGACCATGGAGGGGCAAAACCTCAAGATGCAGAAGCAACCAGGAGAAAAAGGGGGACGGGGATAACTGAGAAGCAGGGAGGGGAGGCTACACAAATTACAGGAGAAAGGACAGCTTAGTTAGAAGCATGGGTGGGAAGGGCCCCAACAAGGTCCCCTCTGATGGGCTCTCCCTGAGCTCAGAGAGGAAATAGGGGGTGGAGGTGGTTAACAAGATAAGATCAGAGGTGGATGGTATCCTGGACAGAAGTAGAAGGATCCACAGAGAGGCACCTTGCTGCAGTAAGGAGCTATGGTGGGGAGAGCAGGAGAGAGTGGGGAGGACAGGCAGACCAGCTGTCCCAACTCCAGCCACTGACAGGCCTTGCCAGAGGCTCAGCTCTCTTTTCTGTAGACAATACCCAGAAATGCCAGTTTTAGCCCAGAAAGCCAAATACAACACTCTCCTTCCTGTTTATTTAGAGGCCAATATCCTCAGGATTCAAACCTATACAGGAAAGGGAACATTCCAGAGCAAAGTCAGTGAAGTGAATTTTAGTCCTGTACTTTATTAGGTTTTCAACAGCACAAAAGAATGAAGAGAAAAAGAGTAGGTAAGACAAGGATAATCGAAAAAAGAAGTTTCTCAAAACTGATGGATGGGGGGATGGGGTGGCTCAGGTACTCAGCAAGCATGAGATTCTGAATATAAACCCTACCACCACACAAATATATGGATATAAAATGTGTTGTGCAAACAGTGAATGTCTTATAAGGAGCAGTCAGAAGTTCAGGGGTACTTTGTGGGGTTCCTATTAAAGGAAAGACTTATGTAAGAGGACCCCAGTAAGTGAACTCATTCTTGACACACACAAAAAAAAGAGAGAGAGAACTTGAAACCCAGATATGCAAGCAGCCACATTCCAAAGCCACCCTAACTGGAAAACATCCAGAGACAGCAAAGTGATGATCACATTTTCTTGCGGCTGCTTTGATTTTTACTAGTTCAGACCCTAGGAGATCCTGCAAAGAGCACCTGGCCAATACCTGCAGACACTGGATCAACCCAGACATGACCCTAACCCCAAATCAGATCCAGAAGATGATTCTGGTCCTTTATATGGAGAGACCAGTAGGTCACTCCTGGCAGCCCAGACCAGGTCAGAAGGTATCTAGATACTGCTCAGACTCCTCCATGCCAATCCCAGTTGCAAACTGTGGTGGACCCCCAGTGGACTGAGCTCACCCCACTGAAGACAAAGCTATGTCAGGCTACAGCAGCAGCTGAAGAATCAGTATGTGCTTTAGCTACCTTGGATGACCAGATGGCTGTGTTCATTTCATCTGAGATAAATGAACCACTGCCATGTACCCATGTGGTCTTGTCACAGCAGCTGAGACAGACCCAGCCTCACAAGAGTCATCATCTGAACAGCCATAACATGAAAGCCTAGTTCTGCATCTTGCTGTGCATCTGCCGACGGCATATTATGAAGACATCACTACGTCGGTGTCAGATGATAAAGAGCACAGGGTGCAGTCGATGTATCTCTTGATGTGCCTCTGCCGGCAACACGTGAAGAACAACCACCTCCACTTTCAGTGGCAGCAGAAGAGCCATAACACAGGGCATTAGGAGGATTTCTTGTCCAT